TAAGTTGGGGGGTGGGGAAATCTGACCTATGTTGCCTAGTTATCAGATTACAGAAGGACTATATAGCAATCAGCATGGAAACAGGGACCACCTATGAAGCTACTGCAATTACCAGAGAGAACAGTGTGGGTTTGGACAATGGTGGGAGCAGAATTTGCTGACAGATTGAATATGGAGTGAAAATAGGACAAGGATGGCTATGAGGATTCTAGCCTGCACAGTGGGAAGATGGGGTGATGGAGCTGCCTTTTTTTTTTTTTTTTTTTTTTGGACAAGGTCTTACTATATAGCTCAAGCAGGCGTCAAACTTGCTATGTATCCCAGGTCAGCCTCAGACTTGGGATCCTCCTGCCTCAGGAGCGGTAGGCTTACAGGTATGTGCCGCCACGTCCAGCTGGAGTCACATGTTCTGACATGGGAGGGCTGCAGAAAGGGAAGATTTGGGATGGAGTACCAGTCAGAAACTCATTTTGGACTTATGCAGCTCGAGATACCTGCCTGATAAACAGTCAAGAGAGCACGTCAAGCTGACATCTGGGTAGTATGAGTTTGGAGTTCAAGGGCAAGATCTGGGAATCACCTGTAGATGCCATTTATTTTTTAATCCTTTTATCTTACTTTATTTACTTTATTGATTTGGGGGAGGTACCAGGAATCAAACTCAGGACCTTGCACTTACTAGACAGGCGCTGTGCCGCTGAGCTATCTCCCTGGCCCAGAATCCTTTTAAAATAAAATTCAAATACATACAAAATAGAATAGTGGGACTGGGGATTTAGCTCAGCGGCACAGCGCCTGCCTGGCAAGCGCAAGGTCGTGAGTTCAATTCCCAGTACCGGAGAAAAAACAAAAACAAAACAAAAACAAAAAAAATAGAATAATAAGTGAGTTTTTAAAAAAATTATTTTTCCCACTGGGCGTGGTGGTGCACACCTGTAATCCTAGCACTCGGGAGGCTGAGGCAGGAGGATCATTGTGAGTTCGAGGCCAGCCTGGGCTACAAAGTGAGCTCAAGACCAGTCTGAACTGCATAGTGAGACCCTGCCTCAAAGAGACAGAAAAAAAAAATTTTTTTTCCCATGTACCCAACAGCCAGCGTCAACCACCACCACTTTCTGCTATTACCCAATAAGAGTTAAAGACTTAAAAAAGGATGAGATAGCACCATAGCATTAAGTGCAGAAAGATAAGAGGGTGGCCACATCCCGGGCTAACCCAGCATTAAAAGATTAAGGAGATGTCGCTGGGCACAGTAGGACACATCTGTAATCCCAGCTCCTTCGGAGGCTGAGGAAGGAGGATTGTGTGTTTGAATTTAGACAGATCCTTCTTAAAAAATGGGTTGGGGATGTGGCTCAGAGGTGGAATGTTTGCCTAGCATGAGCAAGGCCCTGGGTTCAATCCCTAGTTCTCAAAAAACAAAAAAAATACCAGCACTCAGGAGTTGAGAGGAACCTGTAAAGGAGGCTGAAAATAAGTAGTGAAGGAGAAAAACTAGATTATGATATCCTATAAACCAAGTGAAGAAACAAATTATTCTCAAGTAGCAGTTTAAGTACATGATAGTAAATGTTAAGAAAGCAAAAGGAGAGTATATAACATGAGATCTAACCCAGCTGGGGCCAGAGAAGGCTTCCCTGAGGCAGGGACTTTTTGGGGGGTGGGGATTGAGGTGGGGTCTCCATGCATAGCTCAGGCTGGGCTTGAACTCTCAGCAGTCTTCCTGCCTCAGCCTCCTGAGTGCTGGGATTTGGGGGATGGGCCACCACACCTGGCAGCAGTGACAGTTCAGCTGCAGCCCTTTCTCATCTCCCTTAGCAAGTAAAACCTTGCCCCTCCATCCTGCTTCCACCATGACAACCTGCTGCTCTCTGGGATGGCTGTGTGCCAGCCATTGGTGGGGTGCTGGAAACACAGCAAGAACACAGAACCCCTACCTTCAGGGAGCCCACTCTGTAGTGAAGACACAAGCAGTGTCACAGCTGCTGTCATCAGATGAGCACAGTGGGCCTTGAGAGGACCAGGGAGGGGCACAGTGTCAGCAAGAAGTCAGGAAAGCCTTCCTGAAGGTGGCATCTGAGGGGACCCCAGGCAGCCGCCGCCTGCCCCCTTCAGTTTGGCCAGCCCCTCACGCCCTTGCCCACAGGGGCAAGGCCGATTCCAAATTTTCCTCAAGGGCTCCAGCCCAGTTTAAGTGCTACCTCAGTGCCAGGCTTTGCTGTCCTCTCTCAGTATGAACGCGTTCAGCACAGACTTTCAACCTGGGTCCCCCTGCAGCCTCTTCTGGCTGCTTCTGCCCTGGGCCCTCTGGAAGCTGGCATCGACCTGTCTTCCTGGGAACATCCAGGGCTTTCTGCTTCCACAGTGCCCTTGGGACTAAGCACGACCTTGTCTCGGGGCAGACCGGTACCACAGCAGGGCAGAACAGGCAGTAAGGGCAGTGGATAAATCAGTGACAAAGGACTGCAGGGGGGAAATCCCTTGCAATCAAGTTAGAGTCAGGAGGGGAGACATCTTGTTCACCACCGATAGCCCCCCTAGGCCAGCAGGATGCACAGCAGGGAATCCGTGTTAAGTAGGTGCTGAAGGAATAGTTTCTTAAAAGACCCTAGTTCCCTGCAAGCACCAGCCCTAGGCTGACCTTCCAGCTCCCTCAGAAGATTTCTAGCTCCTGCCCAGGTACAGCAGGACTCCCTCAGGTCTGGCATTTAAGAGAATGCTTTGCAAAATTTCCACAGGGCCACTTGATGGCTGTTGGAGAAACAGGTGCAAGCACACACTTTGCTGCCAACCTTTTCTTACACAGATCCCTAAGCCAAGGTTGGTATTCCTGTCGCCGGCACCCCCGCTTCCGGAGGCGGCACACTCAGCAGCCAGACTACTACCGGGCAGCCTGTCATCCCTCTGCTCAGGCGCCCCTTTCCCTCCAGCCTGCGCGCTTCCCCCCGCGGCGGGACGAGCACGTGCTAGCGTCTGCGCCCCCTCCCGGGCAGTCGGGTGCTCTCCGCTCGCTGCCCAGGAAGGGAAATCCCGGAGGAAGCCATTGTTGTCATGTCCCCTGCTGTCGTCATCAGCTGAGGCGTGCCAAGGCCCCGCGATTTCTGCCCACTCTAGAGCTAGGTTGGCCGCCAGGGCCGCGGGGGACGAGGCCAGTGCGCGGGTCCTCGGGGTTCGCCGTGGCCCATCAGCATCCTAGCTCAGGGCTTTCAAGAATGGGGCAGCCCCAAGCTGGTGACCAGCTTAGAGAACCGACGTGCTGGGAGGGACGAGTCTAGGACCATAGCATAGCTGGGCAGGACACGAGTGACACCCTGGCTCTTACACAGGCCAAGAAGGTGACCTTGACCGGTGGCGTGCCCTCGCTTTGCCCCAGTTTGACCTCCCGTGACCGGAGCAGAGAGCGGAGGCCCCTCCAGCTCCCCCTGCTAGGGAAGGTGAGAGGGACAAAGCCCCCAGGCTTGCCTGGCTTCCTCGTCCCTCGTGGGCTTTGGCTGCGCGTTGTGGAGCGCGGGCACCGAGCGCAGGAGACGCTGGCTCGGGCTGCACGGCGTGGGCGGGACCCGGTGGCTCGCGTTTTCTGCGAGGTCCCACAGCGCAGTGCCAGTACGAGGCCTTCGCGCACGCCGCCCGCCGCCGGCAAACCTGGGCGAGTGCCGAGCCACATTCTAACCATGGCGCACAGCCAGCCTCCCGGCCACCCAGTTTGCCGAATCCCTTGTAAGCCGCCTCCGCGAAGCTCTCCTGGGTTAACCTCCTCACTTCCAGCCGCTCCGCCCGGCAGCTGCTCTGGGCTTTTTTGTTTTGGGGTGCTTGTGGTCTTGCTAGCATCTCATGGTCGGGGCTAGCCATCTCGAGGGCAGGTGTCTTGTCTCCAGGACACGAGATTCAGGACGCCCAGTGTGTTCTGAAGGATGCGGTTGATGGGTTCTCCCCGGGGCTCCTCCACTAACCACTCCCACTCTCCGCCTCCCGGCCCTGCATTCTCCCCTCCTCCTACGGACCCTCCTCCTCACAGACTGTGCAGTTCTAGAGAGCACAATCCAAGCCCCCACTCCCTTTCCATCCCACGGTGGCGGCAGGTGCGAGGGGGCCGAGAGCGGGGAGCGTTTGAAGCTTCGACTCTGACCTGCCCACCGATTTTCCTGTAAGTCAGTCCTCCTGGGCTTCAGTTTCCCCAAAATGAGATGATGCCCCGGCAAGGGCTACAGCCCCGACAAGCTGAGCAAGGCCTCGCTCCACAGACACTGGCGGCTTGTGACCCGCAGAGCCGCCGCCTCTTCTGCCGCCCAGGCCTCTTAGTGAGAGGGTCGGGACCACACACTCTTGAGTCGCGGAAGGGAAAGAGAATGGGTGCCGGCCCAGCCCCCTTGTTCACGGGCTGCGTGACCTTGGACGCTTCCTCCTCTGGGACTCCGTTTTTTTCATCTGAAAAGTCGGAATAACAGTGAATAGAAGGTGAACAAGAGGCTTTTCGTCACTCACGGTCCTTGTATAAAAATAAATGATAATTAGGGGTACAGTGCTTGGCAAATTACGCTCGCGAACTCCCGCCCTTGAGCCTCCACGGTGGGATTTGCACCCGCGTCCTTAGAGTTCTCAGGGTCGTCTGTGCACATCGCATTCTTTCTGCGTTTCCCGAGCGGCGTGGTACCTGTTTCTGCCTCCGCGTGGGACCTGGGGCCACAGGTGACTGGGTAGCTGGGCAATGCCCCCACTCAGGCTTGAGGAGGGCAGTGTTCCTCCGGACCCCAGAGGGTCCCCAGGCTAGAGGAGCTTGGCCTGACACCTGCAGGCGGGGCCTGGGGCGGGGGCGCGGGGGAGGGCTGTGGAGACCGAGCCCTCCCTAGGTGCGGGACGGCGGGGCGCTGCGGCCACCCCTACCTGGCTCTGACTGGGGAAAGGGGGCTTTCTCCGGAGGTGGGGCCCTGGGGGCGGGGCTTCGGCGTGGGAAAGAAGCCCGGGCGCCTGGAGGCGGGGCTTGGGGCGCTCGCCCCACGCGGGGCGGGGCTGCAGCGGCCGCGGGATCTGCAGTTTGGACTCCGCGCGCCACAGTCGCCGCAGTTCCCTCCACTCTGGTGGCCCCGCCGCCCCGCGGGGAGCCGGGGGGTCCGCCGGCTCTCGGGCTTGGGCCGGCCGGCCTCGCTTCTGCCTCCCTGGGTGGGGCCTGGACGGTCGGGTCGCGCGGACATGGAGCCCACGCCCGGGGACTCCGCGCCCGGGAACTCCGAGACCACTCGCTTGGTGAGCGCCCGGGAGCGCGGCGGCGCGGGCGGCGGCCTGCGTTTGAAGAGGTAGGACGGACCGGACAGCCCTGGGCGGCCGGGCCCGGGGGCGCCACCCTCCTGCCCTCGGTTCTTTCCGTCGTCTCCCGTGGGCCCCTCTCCGTCCGAGCCCCGGCCCTGCCGGCACCCTGCTGCCCCCGGCCCTCGACGCCTCCCTCCGGCCCCCTCGTCCGTTTCTTCCCGGACCGGCGTCCCCGCCGCCGCGTCTCACTGTCCTGGGAGCCGCTGTCGCTCCGTCGGACCGGAGCCCGCGCCCGGTGCCCGATGTCTGCATCGCCCCGGGCCCTGCCGGCGGGAGCGCATCGCCGCGCCGCGCCGCTC